ACACATTCAGAAGTGAGCTGTAAAAAAGGACAAAAGCAAAGTGATGAAGTTCACTGATGATAAAACCCAAACCACTTTGGAAGAGTTATAGGGCAATGGTAAAGAACAACAAATGTTCATGGAAGCAGTAGAACAAATTAAATGGCAGACTAAAATTAATTAATTTAAGCAATGCAAACAATAATAAACCATTTTAATTCCACATACAGGATGACTATAACACAGGATGTGATCCTGGAAGAAAAAAAAAAGTTCATTGAAAGAAATGAGTCTAGCACTCAGCAGTAGTTAACTACGTATATGTGTTCAAAAGATACACCCTGTCAGGAAAAAGATCATCACTGTATTACTGCACTAACCTGTGATGTGGCTGCGTTGCCACCCCACTGCTTCTGGAATTTTGCCTACTTTTATTAGATCTACATAAAGATCTTCCTCTTATCCCATGACTCCTTAGTTCCGAAGCTTTAAGCAATATGCATGGTTGAATAGTCTATTTTACAGAAGCACAGGAGGCCCACAGAAAGGGGTCTACCATCAAAGGAATGGAGGAATACTGAACCAGCTTCCTCCAAACAACAAAATATCTGCAGAAAGATACAAAGGAGATTCATTGAATTGGAAGTGACATAAAAGAAAAAAAATACTAAAATACAAATAAGTAAGGGGCATTTCACACAATTTATTCCTGAGGTTTAAAATGTCTTGTATATTGTATTTCCTGCTGGGAACACATTCCTGTTTTAAGTTTAGACTGGTTCAAGTTTAAGAAGCAGGAATATTCTAAGGCATGTAAAATATGAAGAAACTTTCTGGTTCAGTCTTCATGGCTGAGGTCACTGAGGTAGGAAGAACAGCCAAGAAAACAAACGCCATATACCCTGCCACATTCTGAATGCTCAGCTTTAGACAGTACTACATTGTGTAACTAAATTACTTCTTACAGAAACAACATATAACCAGCATATTACACTASAGCAAGTTGGAAGCCCAATTATCTGTTCAAAATTTATTCATAAAACATAGAAGTACAACACTGAGATATTCTTCTAAAAAGCACTGGCTTTTCAGTTAATTCATATGCTTCTCCATTGGGCAGATAGTTACTCAAACTCATTTGAACCTCCAGTAGGCTAGGTTTGGATCTTCATAAGCAATAATATAAATACAACTTGATGATTTAAATGTTAATTGCTATAGCCTACAGTACTTCTCTTGGAACACAAAACTGTCCACACTGATAGAACYTGGAGCAACAGTACCACTAGACATGTAATAGCAGAAGTGCCCTCTCAGCATAAATGCAAACTAGAGTGATTTATTTTTAAACAGTGCAGCTAAACATTCCATAACAGTTCAGATTTAGTGTCAATTTAACATGATGGGAAGATTCAGAGTGGCACTGGCAATCTTGAGAAGGCAATATTGTTCATCTTTAATTATTCAGATTTAACAGGAAAAATATCCTGTGTGGGAGAAAGCAGTGCTCCACAAAGGACTAAACACCCAATCTCACAACTGAATAATGTGTTTACTACTAGCAATACAATTTAAATTTTACAAGCAAGGGATTTAAGAAACCAGCTTACTGAATTCATAGCTGTTTCAGTAAAGTCTCATAACATTAAATCATGCTTAGTTTTACTGTGCCGTATTTTTTATGAAGTATAAAAAAGAAAAATGCTAACACTAAGGGCAAGAACATGCAATTCTTTGGGTACATACAGTTGTACTTTACTGTGTAAAATAATTTCAATAAAGGTTGTCAAACTTTCAAGACGTACAGTTCAGAAGGYTTATATCATGTTTCCAAAATACATAAAGGACTTGGGCTTCACAATTGCTGAGGCATTTTATAATGTCCAAGAACATGAAACTATCATGTGATTATTTCTCAAAAAGATACAGAAGTGTGACTTTTCTTCTGAGACCCTATTTGGGATTTTTCCCATAAAAGCACTTTATTTAGACAGTATGAGACTGTTACTTTCCTGAACAGACTCCTTAGTGAGGCATTATTTTACCAATAGTAGGTTGCACAGAAATGAAGTACATGGCGTAAATATTCTGAATGCCATGCTAAGTTTTATCCCCSCAGTGTTCATAATTCAGATGTAACAAGATTGCTCAACAGCTAACAAAGTGACGCACAATATCATTTACCTCATTTTTTGAGACTCGCTGAAATCATGGTAATACAGCCAACAAAAAATTATTTAATTCCACTGGAATTTACTTAAACGTGCTATTGTTCTTAGTAACTCAATTCGTAAGAAGTCATTTGTTCAGCCTCTAAATTTCACCTATTCGATTCAGTGAAACCAATGCATTCAATAAGGTGGWGTTACAGCTAGAACAAAAACCAAAAGTTTCTTAGGCCCAAGCTSGAGGAGTAAAAGGAGAAAGCCTTGCACAAACTGACAGACTTGGTTATCATATCCTTCCACTTTGTTCTACTGATGTGACAAAAGAGTAAAAATAAAAATGAGAAATTAAGACATTCTTCACAGATCAAAGAAGCAGCTAAATCAAAAATTTCACTTCTCCATTTATTTCTTCAACAGCAGTCCAAGCAGCAAGCTTCCCTTTCAAAATGCCAGGGATGCACTCCTACTGGAATAAAAAAGAACTCTACAACTACATATAAAGCTATGATCCAGTGCCTCATATTTTATTGTGAATAAGCTCTTTCAATAAAGTCTAGGCAAGGAGAGTGGTAGCAGTATGACAGCCACGTGAGAATCACGGTGGAGTGCAGGAATTGCAAAAACAAAACAGACTGTTCAGTCAGGAACTGAGCAGACCCTAACGTCATTTAACTGCACTACTGGTATACCAGTGTACAGAAGATAAGGCTAGAACCCTATGCTCCTCTCTTATATGAGATGTTTTAGAAGAACACAAAGTCCTCCACCRGCACACCTAAGAGGGAAGGAACAAAAAATACACTCAGAAAACAAAAACTGAGATCTTTTCATAAAACTAAGAATTTATGYAATTTTGAAGCTAAATTTTCGAACCTATTACAAGAGCATCTATTAAGTACTCAAAAGCAGTTTTTAACACTTAATCCAACTTTACCAAACATTCCATCCATTAAAAAGAACTGACAAAGTGCCTTTGTCAGTTATGGATTTAATTTCCATTTGATCTTTACTTTTCAAAGTTAGAAAAGGAAACCATTTCTTTGAATTTCTCTTTTGTTTTTCTTTAATGTGCTTTCCATTTCCTAGCCTTTGTTCATACATTACAAAATTAAACTGTTTTTCTTCTATATAGTGAGATAAATGCTGTTTCTTTCAATCATCTGAGCTGATTGCTTCTGTTTCTTATACATTAGCTCTCCAAGACTTTTAGAGGTATTTTGGTAATCTGACTTCAGATTTGRTTACTGCATCTTGTATACTGGACTCTTTAATGGGAGCTGCTGCACACAAACATGGAACAGCAACTCTACCACAGAGTAGACACAGTTTGATGTTTACTTCTTGAAGAATGCAACCTCTTTTTTGAATAACCATTTCTAAAAGACAGCTGAAAGACTCAAATACAGAAATGATGCATTACAAGTGTGAAGCAGTCATTTTGGAATTAAATTACATAAAATAAATTACTTGACCTACGAATTCCACAGAAAAACATTTCTCAGTATCTTCCCTGAGTTAATCATCTATTAAAACTACCTTAAAATCTTCATCAAATACAAGTAAGGTAGAAAGAATGTATGCGCATCAAACAGCTGATTTCAAGGAGGTTTTTTTTTAATATTTTTCAGCTCTAGCCATGATATCCCATTAATGTTACACTATTAAYGCTTGGCTAAAAATAATTCTTCACATTGACATCAAACAGCACACTATGTCGTGTCTGATAGCAGAGATGTTTATCTGTGAGAGGACAGGCAACACACAAAGGAGATGCTGGATCCCTCAYACTGCTTTACAACTTTTAGATATGCAATGCTTTCAACATACCCAACTTTGTGAGTAAACTAATATTAAATTATTCAGGTACACATCAACATAAATGTACCCCAAGAAAAGTTATTAAAAACTAGCAATTCATGCTGCAAAAAAAAAATTATGTGATTTCAACTTGTTGAAAGAGATGCAGCAGGGTAGGGCACTGCCTCGTTTTGCACCCGGACCCTTTCAAAAACTGCCAGTGCCAGGATCATCTGTTTTGTTACTTTGCATCTTTTATTCCATCCTGACCTCTGAACTAACTCCCAGTAAAACAGGATGGGTTATATCGCTTCAGCCAGTACCATTCTGCCCGAAACAAGTCACCTGTTCCCACCTACTGTAGAAAGCTCAAGGAATGTGATCTCTGATCTGGTTTTAAGGCACCTTGTGAGCATACTGACGTACTGACGGTAAGGCTTAAACCTTTTTTTTCGATAAGCAATTAGGCAGCGATACCAMATTTACAAACGCAACTTTGCAGCGAGTGCACAGATCACTCATTTCAAGCTCCCTTTTTTGCACAAGGAAATCTCACTGCTTAGTGTGAAGAAACAAAACAGAAAGCACAGCAACTCAAGAARACTGCATACGGCAACTCCATGGGCTCGGTTCAACAAGGAGCACCACCTAAGGCAAACTTAAGTTTTACCGACCTGGCAGATCGGATTCATATATTTTAAAAGAAAAGTTATTTACAGCCACCTGCTCGCAGGTGCGGTTACTCAGGTTACTCCGCCCGGGATAAACTCGTAACGAATGTACCGGAGCTGTCAGGGAAGGGCAGGGCAACTCAGGGCAGGGCCGGCCCGAGGAACCCGCCGCACCCCAGCTTCCACAAGGCACCCAGGGACAGGACGCTCCGAGAAGCGTCTCGGGGGGCAGCTGAGGGGAGCCGGCCCCTCACGGGCGGGGCGGGCGCTGATGCCCACGGGCCGCCCGGCCCGGCCCGCAACGCMCGGCCGCCCTCAGGGCCGGCAGGGTCCGCACGCAGCCGCCGCCGCCTCCGCGGAGCCCCCGCTCGCACCCTGCACTCACCGAGCCACAGCAGCCCGCCGTCAGGCCGACCCTCCTTGCCAGCATGATGCAGCCGCCCCACCTGGCGCCGCCGCCGCCCTCCCGCGACGACGGCGGCGGCGGCGGCGGCTCCTCTTCCTCCTCCTCTTCCTTGTTGGCCGCCCGGGCCCGGGCTGGCGGCGGCTCCGGCTCCGGCTCGGGGCTCATGTCGCTCCCACCATGGCCCCTCCCGGAGCGGCCGGGCCGGGCCGGGGGCGCTGCAGCGGCCGCCTCCGCCGGGCTCACGTGACGCCGGCCCCGCCCCCGTGCGGAGCGCTGCCGCCCCTGAGGCGGGTTCGAACGGCGGCGCGGGGCCAGCTTCCCACCGGGAATAACAGCGTCCCTGAGCATGGAAGGCAGATCTGTGATCATCGAGCCCACCCTACGACCGAACACCACCCTGTCAAATAGACCATGRCGCTAAATGCCACATACAATCTGTCCTTAAACACCTGCAGGGACGGAGACTCCGCCACTTCTCCGGCTAGCCCACTCCAGCATCTAATCACCCTTTCTGTGAAGAAATTCTACATAATGTCCAAACTAAACCTCCCCCGACATAGCTTAAGATTGTGTCCTGTTGCTCTGCCTAGGAAAGAGGCCAYTCCTCTCCCTCATTTCAGGTGGTTGTCGAATCATAAGGTCACCCCAGAGCATCCTTTTGTCCAGGCCATATCCCTCAGCCATTACTCAGCTTAGGTAAGGCTGACGAAGGAGAAGCTATGCAAAACAAAAAAAAAAAAAATAGTTTTACTCAAAAGCAGGGGTTTAGGAACAGCCACCTTAAAAGGATGTTGAAGATAGACCCCAAAGAATCGTAAAATGACTTCCAATAATGGGTGTGATTATGTCGAATAAAGTCCAGGAATTGCGGACAGCTAATGAATATGTAATCAGCATGCATGATAAAATCTCCATCCAGCACTCACACTGGAATGGAGAAAGGATTCCCCAAGTTACCAACATGCTGTAATAAAGTTTTCCAGCTCTAATATTCAGGACTGTATCAGAAATTTCTATCTGGTCAGTTTTGGTATCACTGGGAAACTCCTTGCAGGAGAGTGAGGTGATGGTGCCAAGGTGCCAAGGCTGCTGAGTAAGCTGTGCCTCGTCAGAGCTTCTGATCCATCCCGTCTCATCCCATCCCATCCCATCCTGTCCCGTCCCGTCCCGTCCCGTCCCGTCCCGTCCCGTCCCGTCCCGTCCCGTCCCGTCCCGTCCCATCCCATCCCATCCCATCCCATCCCATCCCATCCCATCCCATCCCATCCCAGGACTCTGTGCATGGCTCTTACTGTCATTTGGAGCGTCCTGTGTGAGAAGAGCTTACAGCCATCAAGAACATAGCCAGTGAACTGTTGCAGGTTGGAGGCTGACATGTCTCATTGTGTGGTCTGCTCTTGGGTCAGATTTTTTTTTTTTTTTTGTTTTTTAAAATATTGGAGAACAGTCATAAATATACAGATTCACGGTTGTGTTATGAGGAACCTAAGAAATGCATGGACTCACCAAGGGGAAACTATGTTTCACTAACCTGATGCTTTCAGTGCTGACATGGCAGATGGATCAATGAGGGGAGAGCAGTGGATGTTGTCTGCCTTGACTTTAGCAAAGCTTTTGACTGTCTCCCATAACATCTTTGTAGGTAAGCTCAAAAAATGTGTGTTAGATGACGGGACAATGGGATGGATCAAGAATTTGCTAAATGGCAGAGCTAAGAGGTTGGTGATCAGCAGAGCAGAATCCAGCTGGAGGCCTGCAGTCAGTGGTTTTCCCCTGGGATCGGTACTGGGATCAGTCTTACCCAATTTGATCAATTTGATTTATTAACAACCTGGATTAGAGGATAGAATGCACCCTCACCAAGTTTGACGATGATGCGAAACTGGAGGGAATGGCACAACTCGAAGTTGTGCTGCCATTCAGCAGGACCTCAAGAGGTTGGAGAGTTGGGTTGAAAGAAATCTGATGGGGTTCAATAAGGGCAAGTGTATGGTCCTGTACCTGGGGAGGAATAATGCCAAGTGCCAGCCCAGGCTGGTGTCTGACCTGCTAGAGAACACCTCTGCAGAAAAGAACTTGTGAGTCTTGGTGGATCACAAGTTAGCTATGACACAACAGTCCTCTTGTGGCCAAGAGAGCCAGTGGTACGCTGGGTGCATCGGGAAGAGTATGGCCAGCAGGTGTTACAATTCARTGGATGGTTACAGCTCTCTGCCCAAATTAACACACAAATGAGACCAAATGCCAGTTCAACTGTACAGGCTTTATTTTACAAAATTGCTTATATAACAAAAAGAGAGAGAGAGGGAGAAGGAGAAGGAGAGCACAAATAGGAGACAGTTATCTCTGTGRATGCAGGAGCAATCCAATTAGTCATTCAGTGCTCTGAGCTTCATGGTGCTGGSTACCCACCCTCTGTTTCACTCCCTGAGTAATTTTTATATAGCATCTCATTTGTGCAAGAAGCAAAGGTAGGAGTGGCTTTCAGTTCCTCATTAGTTGGGGTAATTTTCAGTTCCTCGTTAGCATGAGAGGAATAGGAGTGGCTTTAGCCATCACGCATGCTCAACTCTTAGCTCGATGATCATTGAGATCTGCTCTGGCGATTACATWACAGGCAGAAGTAGAATGTTGCAGYGAAATGTATTAGTTTCTGTCCTGATTAGGGAAGGACAGAACAGAAACTTTATTTCTTTTGCTGTTTGTGCTTTGGGACTCCTGAGGTTTCCTACAGYAAGTTTTACAACGGTTTGTTTAAGGCGTATAATACWAATGTCATTAACTYTTTCYTTACTRCAGGTCRAGGAAGGTGATCCTGCCCCTTTACTCGGCTCTGGTGAGGCACACTATTTGGAGTACTGTGCCCGGTTCTGGRCTTCCCAGTACAAGAGAGAAAGGGAGCTGTTGGAGAGGGTCCAGTGGGGGTCACAAGAATGATTTGTGGTCGGGACATCTCTCTTATGAGAAGAAACTGCAGGAGCTGGGCTATTTTTGCCTCCAGAAGGCTGATTATTAATGCATATAAATATCTCAAAGCCAGATATCAAGAAGACAGTGACACACTTTTTAGCACCTGGTGACAGGACACAGGTCAATGGTCTTAAATAAAACCACAAGAAATTTTTCTTCGATATGAGAAAGAAATTCTTTGCAATGAAGCTGGTAGAGCACTTGGAACAAGCTGGCCAAGGGGTCATAAAGTCTTCCTCTCTGGAGACATTCCAAATCCACTTGGACACATTCCTCTGTAACCTCCTCTAGATGACCCTGCCTGTGCAGGGGAGTTGGTCTACATGACCTCCAAAGGTCCCTTCYAGCCCTTACAATTCTGTGATTCCGAATGCTCATAAGTGTTTCAAAATGAAAATAGATATTTTGAAAATATGAGGAAAAGTTTGAAAATACTGACAATATGTCATGGCTCTGTGAATTCTCGATGCGTTGTCATCCCCATCTCAAAGAGGAAGTAATTAGCAAAAGAGTCCGGGAATGGCTTTTGTATATGAGAGACAACAGAAGGAAGGGAATGATACAACAAGTTACGAAATCCTGATTGGTATGGAGAAAATGTCTGATAAATTAGACAGGAAAAGGAGTCATTAAATGGAATTATCRAGAAACAGGTTTAAAACCTGCAGAAGGAAGCATTTTTCCAGTCAAATTGTCACTAAATCATGAAACTCTATGGGATTAGAAATTCTACGGGATATTTTCATTTAAAAAGTACAAGTGTTTTAGAAGACAATTAACTCTATTAAGATCTACCAACCAGTATAAAGCCTTGCAAGCTGTTGGACGCACAGAGGTGGGGTAGTCTGCCGGGAGTCCSTCTGCTGTCGCTTATGTTTTCTACTATTTGCATAAGTATACACTAACGCCTCAGAACCACAATAGGTCTGAGCTTGGTGTAGTTCTACATGTCTGCTCTTCAGTTTTATGTCTCAAGTACTGGCAGTCTGACAGACTCAGAGCCTTTKAAACAGAAACCACAGCTGCACTGTCTGACCAACTTTCCAAGTATGCAGTGGCTGGTTTGACAGAAGTATAACTACCCCGTTTGTTTCACTGGATGTACTCTTTTGACAATTGGTGATGAACTKTATGTCAGTGCTGATAACCATTTTTACTGATCAAATAAATACCAATGATTACAGAATCATTTGAATGCAGAAGAGGATTCAGAGTTGTGAAAGTTGTGAACCCTGCGGCAGAGTGCTGTTGAAGATAAACTTACTTAGYGAGCTGTCAATACAACAACTTCAAAGAGCTTCTATCTATGATGCAGTAGTGTGTCCAAGAGGTGAGCCAGTTTATTCTGCACGGCAGACACCATGGTTTCTTGCCTTGAGTCAGAGCTATATGTTAAAATAATATTGTGAGTTATAAGTACTAGGGACCAGAAACACCCTCCACTCTCTCTCACAACACCATAATTCCCAGCAGGAAGAGTTTGGTGTCATTGAGCCATCTTTCCTCTTCAATTTAGTTGAGTTCTTAAAAACAAGGAACAAAACAAAAACAAGGAATGTCTTTGTACAGCATACTGTGTATGCTGCAAGAATTCATTACTGTTTTGCTCAAATCCATTAGAGCCTAGTCCTCAATATTCACTACAGTACAATTAAAGCTGTTAARCTTTGGGCTCCCTTGTAATTTACTAATTTCTGTGAGGGCAGACAACTTTGAAGAAAATTCATGCAGGCTAAGTACTCTATGAACTATTGACCAGCACTATTTCTATATTTAATTTATAACAATTACATCTTATAAACCATATTTTTTCCACAGCATTGCCCTAAGTTTTTTTAGTGCTCATCCAGGTAATACAGTAAATAGTTTCTTGCATATGCCAATCCTTTGTAATTGATGAGGTAATCATAACAGGAGCACAGATAGAATCTTTTGAGGAGAGACCTGGTGTAAACAAAACCTGGGAATGTCCTGCTTTTATTTGTTAGTCTTTACTAACAGAACATACTCAGAGTAGTGAAAAGAGCAAATCCTCTCAGCTATTAAAAAGAGTAGTGAAAAGAGCAAATCCTCTCAGCTATTAAAAAGAAGTCCCACTAGATGGGGTTCTGGTTTCAAAGGAAGAATATTTTCTCATCTGGTTTGAGGAGAAGCATTTTTTTGCTTCTTATTTTGTTCAAATTGGCAAYATAATGCTGCAAAATTAAATATAATATCTTTTTGTTTTCAGTTCACCAGTAGAATTTTTTTGCCATTTCTCCA